TTGTAGGAAATTTCAGGCTGATCAAACATGATATAACTCAAAAGCAAGCACAATTTGATGCAAATAGATGTTTGTGACATAACCTCAAAATAGAGCGCTGACACGGAGAAGTAGAAAACTTTGACAATCAAGGAGGCCATAAAGGCGCCCTACAATTGTAAGGACGACTGACGATACGGGCCTTAGTGATTAGATGTAGGCATGGGAAAGAATTCATCTCGGGACCACGTCCAAACAAGACTGCGGAGCTGCTGCTCTCAATGAGTAGAAACCAACTCCGCGCAGTCACAGAGCTTCTAACAGGACACAATGGCCTGAAAGAACACCTGAGCAAAATAGGGCTGTACAATGGAGACCTTAGCTGCAGGCAATGCTGAAAAGGCACAGGATCAGCCCAACATCAACTCTTCAGGAAACCAAGACTTGAACCGAGGGATTTTAGAGCACTACCGACAGGAAATCTCATAGCTATTATATAAACCTATTGGATAACGTTGAAGTTTGCATAAAAGAAGCTATAGTCAACCCAACAGTTTATAAAAGGAAAAATCCAACTCCTTGGTTCTCGCAGACGTTCAAGAATTTTAAATTAAAAAGAGACTACAATTATAAAAAGTTTATGATTACTGGAAGTGAAAATGATTGGCTAGAATACACATTATCAAGAAACCAATCTGTAGCAGTTCTACGAAATGAAAAGAAAAAATATTACAATGCCAAAATTGATCAGAGTAAAAATAATAGCAAACATATCTGGAAAACGTTGAAAAACATTGTATCTCCTATTAGAAAAAGTACATTATCTAAAATAAAATTTGACGATGAGGTAATAACAAATGAAAAAATAATAGCAGATCAAATGAATATCTATTTCATAGAAAGTGTCAACGACATTGTAAAATCAATTATTGACGGGGATCCGAACCAATGTCCCATTAGCTCAGATTATAATGCATGATTCAGTGTGTTTAGAACAATAAACATTAATCGTCTCAAGAAGATTATATCAAAAATTAAATCAAATCAAAATAAGAGTGCGATTTTGTCTAAAAGTGTGCTTAATGAATGTTTTGATATTACTGGAGCAAGAATATTAGTCCTGATGAATTACTGTTTAAAATATAACGAATTTCCAACAAAACTGAAGTGTTCTACCATAACTCCTGTTTCTGAAGTTAAGAATTCTAGTTGTACACCAATATGCGACCAATAAATGTGCCAAATGTTGAAAAAGTTTTTGATGAAATTATTTACGAACAGATCATCGAATTTATTGAGGGAAATAACATTTTAACCAAATTTCAAGCTGGATTTAGGAAGAAACACTCAACTGAAACGGCAACACAAACGGTTTTAGACGACTGGAGGAGATGTATGGACAATCGGAAGTATACATTAACAGTGTTTTTGGACTTCAAAAGGGCGTTTGAGTCTATTGACAGGGATAAATTACGTATAAAATTGTATCACTGCGGATTTGAAGGATCTGTATTCAAAATTCTACAAAACTATTTAATTGACAGAAGTCAAAAAACCAAAATTGGACCTACATTATCAAGATCAAAAAATATTTCTGTTGGTATACCACAAGGTAGTAAACTAGGTCCAGTACTATTTATTTTCTACATTAATGACATATGTAATATTTTAGATTATTGTAAACTTCAGATATTTGCAGATGATATATTAATATACGTATCAGATGAAAATATAGACACTGCTTTAAAAATGCTAAATTCTGTCTTGGCAAAAATCATAATTTGGTTAAATGTAAATAAACTAAAACTGAATACTTCTAAAACAAAATGTATGCTAATAGGGAAATACCTAAATTAAAATACTATCACACTTAGGATAAATGGAGAAATAATTGAAAATGTTGAATCAATTAAATATTTAGGTATATATATTGATAGTAAACTAAAGTTTGAGGATCACTATGAATACATTAATTCAAAAATTGCCATAAAAACAAATTACTTTCATAGGGCTTGTCATAGTCTTGGTACCTATTCCAAGAAAATAGTTTATAATACAATTATTCTACCGCATTTACTATATTGTTGAACTATCTTGTTCACTGCCAATGAAGCTGTATTCTCAAAATTACAAGTCTTGCAAATTAAAGGTATGAGAATAATATTGAATAAAAATAAGTACACCAAAATAAAATCTATGTTACAAGAATTGCAGTGGTTGAATATAAAATATTTCATATCATATTTGGTTCTTATTTTTATATTTAAAATAAAAAATGATCTTTTGCCAGAACATTTATAACATATAGATTTTCATTTACAAAATTGCAATAGTAATATAACTAGCAAATCAATCTTTCAGAAAGGATTACTTGAATTTAATAAACTAAATAATGATATAAAGTCTACTTGCAATTTAAAGATATTTAAAAGAAAATTAAAGGAATATTTCATGGACAATGAATATTCTTAGAGATGTAAATTCTGTTTTTTTTTCTGAATGTCTGTATGTTATGTATTTGTTTAGTTTTTTAGAAGAATGTAATTGTAATCATGCTAAATAAATTTTAAACAACAACAACAACTGGTTCAGAATGCTGGACTGTAATCTCGAGGAGCAAGGCGCAATGAACCCTAGAGGCGCTACAGTGCCATCGGGAACTTTGGTCGGATGGCTTCCGGAAATGGAAGAAAACAACTAGATTTCATTCAGATCACAGACGCAAGCATTTTCAAAGAATTTTTAATATTCGCTTTTTTTCTTGACAAACAGGGCATAAGTATTAAAAGCATGGTTGGAGCTTGTAACACCGACTAATCTGCTTTTGAGACTTAACATAATATACCCATGGTCACTAAAAATTAAAAAATTTTAAATGTAATTCAAATTACCTCTATCATAAGTAGGCGGCCTGTCGCACACGTTGAAAATCTGTCCATAGTCAAAACGCTTGTTTTTACAAAATCATAAATGTTACAATACTCATAACACGTGAAAGAAAAAGGAGTTGGCAATAGTCTATAGTGGAATATTTGAATCTTACTTTGGAGGCGACACAGTTTGGTAAGCTATTAGTAGCGTATACTTCAAAGTATGTATGAAAAATATGCATGATCAAATATACTAACCAGAAAATAGTTCATCTTTCATATGTCACTATATTAATCTAGCATGCATTTATATTTGTCCAACACGATACACCGATATATCGCTTCATCTACACTGATTTTCTCTCCCCTTTCACTACCCCCTCAGCGCCGCTCCCGAACCACGTGAGCCCTATAGGGTCGAATCAATACTGCCACTGGATATTCGGAAAATCTAACACCCGATTATGTCATAGGAACGAAACCGCATCTACCAGAGGCGGGAATGATGAACTGATGCTATTTAAATGAGCATAAATTGACTAATTAAAGTGTTTGACAACAATGCAATGAAAATAATTCGTTAATGCTCAGCCAGTGCGATATGGGAAGCTCTCAAGAAGGTGTCATTTGTTATAATCAAAGTCGGCCTTGTAACAATAGCACTGGTGAGGCAATTGTTGTGTAATTGATGACATACGGTCACTAGATTTACTCATTTACATATCGTAGGAAACCTAGATGAGCAGAAAAAAATTATTTTTGGCAAGATATGTAATCAGCCTTTGTTCGCAAGCATATTAAATAACTAAAAGCATATACAAAACGTTATATGAAGCATGCAGAATCAAATAAAAGAAACACCTGTGTGGTAACTCACCTGATTTTGCAATTATTGCAGAGCGCCAAAGCCAAAGTGTCGTTGATTTGATACTTTTTTGTGGTTGAGAGCCACTTTTGGTTTCACTACTTTTCTGCGTAATGAGTACATGACGTGTTTTTTTTCGATACTTTCTGAACGGAGAAGTTTCTGGTATTATAGTAATGCGGACATTTGCGGGTTCACGAAACTGAAATATCCACTCCGCGAGATTCTCCCTACTAAATGGTCAGATTTGTGAAGTTCATATACTCCCATCGGAAACAAGGACAGATCGATAGACTGAGCGGTAAAAACGAGAGAGAAACAAACACGATATGCGCGAATAATTAGTAACAGTTTCTTGGCCGCACGTCGATCAGTTAATGTAATTTCAGTTCTTTACATTTATTTTTGTAGTTACCGCTAGAATAGGAAAGGCTAATTTGGTTTATCGTTGGGTAAGCGATTTGATTTGCAATGATATGACTACCGCACTCTCGCGGGAAATTCATGGACTAGCAGTTACATGTTAGTAGGGATTTTTGTTTAGTTTGGATTATACTCGCTTGATGGCACTGATGAATCCGGAATCTTTCCGGACGGAACTTGGGACTGCGGGTGCGGGTGCCTCCGGTATCCAGTGGCTGCCCATTGGCGCGGCAGATGAAGATCTATGAAAGCATTCTGAAAAACCTCAGAAATAATAGGATGAGATAGGTGGGGGTGAAGGGGTTAAAAAAATCATAACGGTGGTGTGTCCGACTCTAATGAGTATGATGTTTGCAAAATCTTAAATAAATAAAATAAACATTCAATTAGACAACGTTTCGAGGGATTAACATAGTTTTATGCATATCTTTAGACTTCTTGAAACCATGAATTTCAATATTTTTGAGGTACACGTTGATTCAAGATATTTTGAGGGAGTGTTGATAAAAAAATTAACAGGGCTCTCATTAGGAGAATCGCGAAAGGCTTATTGTCCTGTTTGAAGTTAAGTACGTTTCTTTCCAATATACCTATTTTTTGACCCAACACAAAATAATTAGATATGTACAGTGCTTTTCAGGAAGCCCAGTACTTATTTTTTAAACGGGTCAAATTAGCAAGTTAAGATGCAGAGTGGTGAAACTGGCACATTTTCACATAAAAATAATAATAGTTGAACATTTCAAGATGGCAGCATTGTGCCTGAGAGGTGCGTCTACGTAAATTCCTAAAATCATAAACCATTCAATTTGTTTATTTTAAATTTATTATCTTCAGAGTTTATTATTTGTAAACGATCGTAAGGTGGCACATTTATGGCAACAATGTGAAAGGAATAAAGTCAGTTTTTTCAAAATTTATTCTTCATAATTTACTATCAAACCAGTCTTTGATTATACACAGATAATTTTGTGCGAGGTTTCTCAAATCTGCCCCGTTTTCATTCCTATTACGTATATTGCATACATTACATTTACTTCACATGATTTTATAGACAAACAGCGAAAGAACAAGAATTTAATCCAATATTTGATGTTCTTCACTCATTTATTCATTTGCGAGCTGCATTGGAACCTTTTTCCTTGCGAATATACGTATCACCACTAATGACATGCCAAAAATTCTCTGCAGTCTCTAGCTTATGTGAATCCTGGAAGGTCTGGCAAGTGACCATACATTCTGTTCCATAAAACGTGGGAAACCGCATTTTGGGTATCACTGCCAAATTGCGCCCAGATGCTGTGTGTTGGATAATGACTCGAGTTTCTGGCTTGAAAGTTGTGCCCATCGTTTTACGGCGTTTTTGCGGATTCCAGTGAAAAAACTTGAACCTAATCATGAAACAGAGGAATTGTACCATATCACACCATTTATTGCTCACATTATAGAGGTATCGGGTTTCACTTAGGCCTTAATTACAAGGGCGCATGTCTTAGCCAAGGTTGAGTATAAACACTCATATACACGTGTGTCCTAAAAGTCTAGTTTTCGAGGTACAGGGTATCAAATTTAAAAGAAAAATATTTTTTACTCTCCACGCTTACTGGCGGAGAAGTAATGTAATCGCGACAATTTTCAAAACTGTGATAGTATGTTTTTCGGAACTTTTATAGTAGGGGAAATACGTACAAACTGACATATATGTATAAAATGACAGAGGCGGATTATTTTGAATTTGGAGGACTTTAACACGAAACTGCCAGTGACGCCACGCGACCATAATGGCACTCTATAATCTGCCAAATTTTGATCGCATTCATTTCATTCGCCTTAGTGTCATGGCCGAAGACAGGTATTCACACGTTACGAGTTTTTTCATACTGACAAAGTTCTGCTCAAATGGTTAGTTTTTTGCTATTTTATCTATTTATGTAGCATTTGTTTCATTCATCAAATACTTATCTTCAAATTAAACAACTTTCACTTAGAAAAAGAGCTCTTTTATCTTTTTATTGTTTTAAAACGCTCTACGGACAAAACGATACATATGTAACGGACAAAATGGCATACGAATGTCATTTTGTTCATAGCTTTTGTGTTATATGTAGGTATGTATTTCTTTCAGATACCAAAATGCCACGTGATTATGAAAGAACGACTGATCAGCAATCTTGGAGTATGAAGTCAATGAAGAAAGCCATCGAGGCAATTCGAGATAAGAAAATGGGCTGGTTATTCTCCTCAAAAACATTTGGTGTTCCTCAAGCAACTCTTCGCAGGCATGTTTCAGGCACTAATAAAACTTTGGAGTCAAATTCAAAATGCCTTGCTTGTTGGAAAACTACCTTTCCAGCTGATGTGGAAAGGCAATTAGTTGAGCATATAAAATTCCTTGATTGATACAAGCATCGGTACAAGAATTAGCTGTTCAAATGGCTGAGAAAAACGGTTTCGCTCATAAATTTAACATCCAAAAGCAAAAGGCAGGACAAGACGGGTTGGATGTATTTCTAAGACGAAATAACAATATATCTTTGCGCAAACCAGAAGCCACTTCAGCAGCTCGCTCACAAGCTTTCAATCGGTCACAATTCTAAAAGCTTTTTCAGCTGTACCGGAGCTTGCTAGAATCTGTTGGCTATAAACCTGAAAAGATTTTAGCTACCTTGAGAAGGAAACAAGTCGGGGTTACAACTAGTGCGGAGCGTGGAGCAAATACTAATGTTGTTTGTTGTTTTAAAGCTATTGGAACTTTCATCTCGTCGATAATATTTCCTAGAAAAAATATGAAAAACGAACTTATAGATGAAGCTCCTCCTGGCACTTTAGGTGTAGCTCAACAATCAGGCTGGATGACCACTGGAATATTTATGAAATGGATAAAGTTTTGTAAAAGCAAGCATTGACGATAAAGTTATTATAATTGTCAATGGAAATGCCAATCATAACATAAAGGCATTGAAACTTTGGAATATGCAAAAGAAAACGGTTTCATGTTATTTGTCTGTCTCCACATTGCACTCATCGCATGCAACCTCTTGACTTCTCCTTTTTTGGGCCTTTGAAGACCTACTATAAGCAAGAAATTATTAGATGGCTGAAGGCATATCCTGGACGTGTTGTTACGCATCTTCAGATGTTCAACGAAGCACATGGCAACGCAGCTACGGTGCAAGATGCATGTCACGGATTTGAAAGCGTCTGGCCACTGAACCCTGATATATTTCCGAATTATATGTACGAGCCCGCTGAAACAACAGAGATACCGCTGGAGGACAACTCCAAAGAACAACCTCCTCAGTATTCGACAGCAATGAGCTCTGTCGAGTATGAACAGATTTTGACACAACCTTCACAACAAGCAGATGATTCAGTTCCTGTGACAAATACGTCTCTGGTGACGCTGTGGCTGCTGCGTTACCTCTCGTTCAGCCATAGTCTCATGGGATGTCTGAAGAAAATAATGCAGCCGAAATAACAGCACTTACCGATCCACAAGCTGAAATATCATCTTGGGTTCCAACAACAAACTTTGGTCTAAAGTTGTTTTAACTGCTGCTGCTACCAATGAACATACGTCGTCTTCTGCTTTTGCTGTTCCTATTGAGGTCCTATTGAGGTGGTGCTTTCTCCCACACCAAAAGGACATTTTATTAGTGGCCCAAGGAAACGTCTCCAACAAAGAAAAAACGCAAAACCACCAAAAATTTATTTTAAGAAAATGATGAAGACGATTTTCCTAATATTTCTCATGACGATGAAGAGGTATGTGCTTGCATTCACTGTAACGACCTTTATTCAAGATGTAAGCCCGGAGAAGACTGGTTGTGAGGCTTACAATGTTCTCTTTGGGCTCACGCTTCTTACGCTGATGGTCCAAGAAGAACTAAGCGTTTCATTTGCGAATTATGAAAATAATATTGTGTCAGTTAAATATATTTTGTTTTTTTTTCTGAAGATTTTTTGCTGAGAATGTTCATTAGTTTCGATAATTTAAGGACCAAAGATAATTGGTGTAAGCTATGGACGTGCTGTGAACTACCAATAAAAAGTTATGATACAACAACAAAACTAGGTCATTTTGTACATATTTCCCCTACCCTTTGTACCACGGAGAAGAAAAATGAATATTCCGAGAGTATTGGGTGCATCCCGTTCGCAGTGATAGATTAGTTAGTGGAACATTTTAAACAATGCATTCCAAATTACTTGATTACCAGAAGAAACATGTCTGTCTGACGCCAAAGCCCGGAGCGAACTGAACTAGCGGCCGACTAAAAAGTCGTCGTCTGTGGGCAAGTGGAAGTTAGCCAACACTGATTAAGCAGCCGGCCGATAGTTGGCTGACATATTAGTTTGAAGGAAATCGGGAAGCCCATCAAACTTTTTTATCCGCCGATACTGAATCGCTGTAATCTGCGCATATGCATACGGCTCCATACTGATTAAGAGGCCGACCAAACTATCGGCCGATAGAAAGTCTGCAGTTTGCGGTGACCTTAACACGGCAGCAGACGGATCGCGGACCTACCGGTTGCGACTGCTACTCTGAGCGGCCTGCCGTCGTTCTTGGTTCAGTTGTTCGGGTATGGTTTTACTCGTATTTCTGCCGTCTATGTCTTTCCACGCTGCCACGTGTGACAGGATTGAGTATCGGGGAGTGGTGACGTTTTCAGATGCACTACCGGCAGGGCACGGAAAGTACATCTATGGAGCAATTTTTTCATAGAAGTTGTACGTATCAATCAATCACTAACTTCAACCCACTTCCTATGGATCTTGAACAATCCCCTACCCTCACTGAGCTTACTTTAGTTACCACTTTAGTTCTACTTATCATGAACACGCGAAAATAAGGTATACAAGGACCACTCGACCGAGGCGGTACCCCGCTAGCTTCTTCCAAGGTGTCTTAAGATTGTCTGCATGTTTCCACACCTAAGAAGTCGGTTATCTTCCCCAACAAAGAAATTAATGATGATGGATACTAAGAATTCCGGACGTAAGTTCACTCCACTCTCGGAATGTCCGGGTAAAGGGAACAACATCGATAATAAAATTTATTTCACGAACATCTGCGGGATTAACATCAACATTGATGCTGTTCTTGGCGGAGACAAACGTCTCAGAGTCAGCTTTTCAAATGACGAGGCGCGCTCCAATCTAAGAAAGAATGGGAGATTTGTGGCTTTTGTCCGCATCAGTCCTTCCTGTTGCAGAGACGTTTCTTTGGCCAAAGGACATTCAGTGGCTTTGCCTCAACTCCAAAACATCCCCAAATTTTTTTGCTGCCTTTATCGCTCTCCCTCGAACCATAACTGGGATGACCTACTTGAATACCTTGCTGTCAACGTTGACTTCCTGAACATAAACTACCCCGCCTCAGATGTAGTTCTCTTCGATGAGTTCAATGCCCATAATGAGCTTTGATTGGGCTCAAACAAGACCTATGCAGCAAGTCATGCAGTCGAAGCATTCGCTATTACTCAAAAACTGACCCAGCTGGTAAAGAGCACTTTTTTCCTCCGCATTTCGTCACACGTCAGTAGCCTGCTAGATCTATTTTTAACTACGCATCCAGTCCCTTACAGCACTGCTGTCCTGTCTCCCCTGGGAGAACACGGTGTTGTGGAGGTTAGGTTTCGATCAGAGCCCGCTGTGCAAGCAGAAACTCGGCCAGGCCGCAAAATTTGGAATTTCGGACATGCCGATTGGCAGGGGCTCAGAGACCTCTTCACCTTTCCTTGGAGAGATGTTTCTTTCGCTGACGCGAATGCGTCGGTGTCTGATCATCGATAATCGAAATTATTCACGTTGTTATGGAGGAATACATTCCCCCGTCGAGTCCAGAAACAAATGTAACGAAGCGATCCGCAATACCAAAGACCGGCACGATATAAACGTTAGGCACAGGTTAATGTCACAACGCAATGGCAGTCGGTCTTTCTGGACGGTGGCCAAGCAGATTGAAAGGAACTTCTCACAGAGTAGCCCCCCACCACTTACGTGGCAGGAAGGAACAATTGTAACTAATTCTAAGTCAAAAGTGCTTGCCAAGATCTTTGCTGCTAACTCCACTATGGACGTCCCCCCAACGCCCGATTGCCGCTGATTCAACGGGTTCCTACACTATGCAGAAAGTAACATTCAGACATAATACCGTAAAATGGGTGCTCTTGTCGCTCGACATCAACAAAGCTTCTGGTCCGGACTTGGATTTCTGCCGATATATTCAAGAGGTGTGCAATGGAGCTTGCTCCAATTCTTCCGCGTCTCTTCCAGATATCTTAGGAATCCGGCACCTTTCCAGAAAACTGAAAATTTGCTCATGTCTAGCCCATCCCAAAAAGGGATCTAAGACAGACGTTTACAACTACAGACCTATAGCTCTGCTTTCTATTATAAGTAAGGTGATGGATAGGTGCATAATTCGCGAGCTTCCGGACTACCTCGAACGTCACGGCTTGATTAGCAACAGGCAGTGTGCTTTCCAGCACGAGTGATCCACATAGGACCTCCCAGCTTACGTCACGCCGATCCAGTAACCTATGGTGAGGTGAGGCTCATTTCGTTGCTCTTGATATAACGAAAGCGTTCGATCAGCTGTGGCACGCTGCCCTCTGACGTTTTCTCTGGCCGCAGGATATCCGTTGTAATTGACGGGTTCTCCTCTTCATCCCACAACGTCCACGCGGGTGTTTTCCAGGGATCGGTCTTGGCTCTCACACTGTTCATCTTATATATCAACGACGTAATTTCCTGTACGATCAATCCAAACCACAGCTTTCTCGTTAGCCGATGACAGCACTCCACTTGTAGGAATTCAGAGTGTCATGCCAACCTCTGCAGATGAGTTTGAGAAAATACGACTAGCAAAGATTTTCTCTTTGACGAGAGACCTGGAGGTTATCACTGTTCGGGGATGCAACAATCTTGAACAGTCTAATGCTTCCCAATCACAATGCTGTACCTTGACGAACAAAAAGCGTCCTAGCGCTCATTCGGTTTCGATGGATGGCCGAGTTCTGCCAAAGGGCGGTTGGTCGGTATCCAGACCGAGGACTTGATCTGGCACGAATACATCTCGTAAATAGCGGCAGCTGCTGGGAAAATTCTAGCCTATTTATTGAGAGCTAAGAAGTACTTTTCTCCGCATGACCTCCTCACTCTATACAAGGCCCAGATAAGACCTAGCCTCGAGTATTGTTCACACGTTTGGGGTGCTGCCGCCCCGACTACATTATTTATGTTCGATACTGTCCAGAGGATCGATGACTCTTCTCTAACAGACAATCTCGGGACCCTTTCGCAACGGCAGGCGGTCTGCGATCTAGCTTTCTTCTACCGCTACACCAATGGGCTTTGCTTCTTAGAGCTCTCCCCCATGATACTGCGACAATTTGAAAACAAAACTCTACAGTTTAACATATCAAATTGCTTCGTTTGAAAGGGCAAATCCTAATCTTTAATAAATTGTAGGGCGTTCCATTAAAAAAATGATTGTTTGGATCACCACGTAGTGGTATTTTCCAAGTCTGAAACCTCGTTTTCTGTTGGCTCCAATTTTTGTATGTAACTTTTTTAAACACTAAGCATAATAACGGAGTTGTCGACGGAGAAAAAACTCGCACTGTATAACAGAGGATTCGTATAAAGGATTTAATATAAGTGACAATTCTTTGCATAGCAAGCCAAAGAGACTCTGCATGAATGCACACATTTGTTATTGATCTAGAGATTTTTTTCAATATTATTTCTCAGGTTACTAGTAAAATTCTGGAGAACTGAATGGAGGTTTTTTCGAAGGTTCATATTACATTTAGGAAAATTTCTCAAGCAACTTTTTTTGTACCCCAGAATGTTTTCATTTCGCTTGATTTCAAATTTTAATATAATATTGATTACCCACCTGCAGTAGGCATCAGGACTCTTCGTGAGTCTTACAGGAAGATGTCCGCCACACGTATCGGTCGTCATATTTTCACACTGTACAAACAAAGGCTTCTGGTCATGTGTTTCTATTATCTGCATCAAAACGTTCTCTCCATACACCACCTGTTTACCCACTTTGTTGAAATCTGGCCCACGAAGCATGAAAGTGTTTCTGACAACAGGCGTTCTGTGCGGAGACGCAGAAATCGTGCAACCATGTTGAAAATGTTGTGCTGTCAATATATCTCTTTCGTCCATTACTCCTGATATACACAGACTGTTGAAAAAACCTGGTTTAGAATAAATTAATATTCAAAAATCACGAAAGCTGCTATACTGCGTGTACCACGTAGAGCGCAAAATCACGTGAACATATCTGCAACTTTTGTTTTGTAACATCTACTCACTCTTTAGTGTAGCGCAAGTAGTCCGATTACGTTGTGCTTTGAAGCATCGTGCAGACGGGTTATTTATGTGTTGTCCTTTCTGAATAGCAATGTTCTACTCCCACATTTTCATAATTTTGTAAATATTTTAGCTGAATTGCTCTCTTCAGCCTTACTACTTATCCATTTTTTCATAACTATGTCAACTTTTTGAGTAAATGATCGCTTCAGTTTTTGGTTGGACCGAACATCCTTTATATTTGTCGACCATCAGTGGACGCATTACCATCGACTGCCCAGCAGAGTGGGCTCTTTAGCGTGTTTTCAGTCAGCCTTTATAGTGGTATAAATCACAAATAAAAATTAGAATCCTATAGCAAATAGTGGCCGAAGTGTCATGCTATACCCTATTCGTAGTCCATTTACGCCCCGGCACAACAAAGATGCAGCGCGGCAAAGCGGCAGCCGCCTAAGCGTTGCAATATCTATTGGTCATTCGGACATAGAACTACGAGCAAGTGCAGGTTTCGACAGGGTAGAAGTCAGGGCCGATGCCTGCAGTTGCTGTTCATATTCGGTGCATACATAGCGTGTGTTTATACGTTAGCACGTCGTCTAAGGATACAGCAGATGAAACTGAGGATATTTCTCCAATGCTGCCTTCAGACATGCTTCCTCTTCAGTGATGTCTCCTCCCCGAAAACGCGACAAGTAGGAACATGAATATTCAGTCAAAAGAAATTGTCCTAAACGTTTGTAAGAGCGAAATTTTAAAGGATCCTTAAATGAAATTCATGTTATTGAAAGACGTGTGGCGAACAAAACAAGCTTATGTCCTAAGACAATTCTCAACATTGTTAAGGAATTTAAAAACGATGAAAAATTGTCTCCACCACATAAGAGGCTGCATCACATGAAGTTGTTGGACACAGTTGATAACTTTGATCGGAATGCCATCAGACGCAAAGTCCATCAATTGTTTGAAACGCAGGAACTTCCCACTATAGACAAAGTATTACAGGAGGGTAATAGTGATGAAGACTTACCTACTTTCAAAAGGACCACATCCTATAGTTTACTCTTCATTTTGAGTATAGAAAACTGAGCAGAAATAGTATTTAGATGGACAGCCAAGAGATTATTTTATGGAGAAGAAATTATTTAAAATCAATAAAGAAATACCGCGACCAGAGCAGGAAGATTTATTACTTGGATGAAACCTGGATAAATACCGGACATAAAAAACCTAAGGTATAGGCCATTGATTCCCAAAGTGGTCTATATCGACCCCTAGGGGTCTATGACAACCTGCAAGGGGTCTACGTCAGCGAAAAAAAATTTGAGGGTCCATGAAATGAATATGGGGGTCCACGATAGTGGATCTCAACACATACACTGATAGTACCTATTTACTTACATCATACTATCTTATGATATCAAAACATATACATTATTTATAAAAGTACCTATGACGTAAATAATTTATTATATATGTTTATAAAATGGTGGAAGTTGTAGGATGTTGGTACTCGCTTTGTGGTCGCAATACATTTTGAACTTGTAAAAAGCTGAGAGTCACAGTCTCAGAGCTTCGCTACCTTGCACTGACTTGTTCAATTCGTCACTCTATAAATACGAATGTGGGACAAATACGTTTATTCGTTTCCTGAAACTTGAAAAGGAAAGTGCTAAGAAAATATTTTAAAAAATATAAACAGATAGTATATCACACAAATTATAGTGAGTCAGTGTTATTTTGTTTGAGTGTGCTGGAGAAAAGTAAGTACATTATTTTTTATTAAATTTTAGTTTTGTACTCGTAGTTAGCAAAGATAGATAAATTACGCCAATCATGACTTTAGTTATTAGTAATTAAATATTTAATCATGCAAAATTACACGAGTACTCCTCAATAGTTTCTATTTGAAAGTTTTAGCAATCGGTAATATAATTACAGTGCAATCTCCGTAATTCGAGCTAATTGTTGCAAGAAGATGTTCGAATTATGGAATGTTTTCGGAAAAATCAAAAAATATTTTTAATATACAGCTGCTGGATTTTCTGTCTTATTTAAATAATTTAATTTTTCCCACAGATGACTGATGCCATGTCCGAATCTAAAAAGAAATGTAGACAGTACAGTGTTGATTATTTGAAATTTGGCTCCATTCCATCATCGCCGGACAAACAATCGCCTATGTGCCTTTTATGCAACAAAGTTTTGGGCAATGACGCTATGAAACCATCTAAACTGCAAGATCATCTGAGAAGATGCCACCCTGATAAAACAGAGAAAGATTTGAAATACTTTCAAACACTCAAAGATAAATTTCAGAAGAGACCTACACTGGACAGAATGTTCGCTTCGACGTCACAAAGAAATGATGATGGTTTGCGGGCGTCTTACAATATCTCGTTACTTATAGCAAAATTCGGAAAACCGCTTACTATCGGAGAGAAGTTAATTTTGCCAGCCGTTGAAGAGTTCTTAAAGACTGTTTTACACAAACCTGCATCTGATATCATTAAAAGAATTCCCTTAAGTAACAATACTGTTGAAAGACGTATTGATGAAAAGAGTTCTGATATTGAAAGCTTCTTATGTAATTATTTGCAAACGAGCCATTTATCTATACAACTGGACGAGTCAACTTTACCTGATAATGCAGCATTATTATTGGCATATATTCGTTTTATTATGAATCAAGAAATCTACGAAGAACTACTCTTCGCAAGAACTTTGATAACCGACACTAAAGGTGAATCAATATATCATGTTTTGAAGGATTAGTTCATTGAAAAAGCAATTCCTTTATCAAATATAATATCAGTAGCTACAGATGGAGCACCTGCCATGGTTGTACGTTATCGTGGATTTATAGATAGATAGATAGATAGATATATACATTTATTGTCTTGTAGATCATAAAAACTGACATAAGACTCGTCCTAAGAGGGAGGTACATAGTACACATAATTAAAAATAAAAACGAAACAAACATAAGTATTTACAAAGTACAAACAGGGACAACTTAAGGCGTACAGACATTCACATATAAAAAAAGTTTAAAAAAATATATCACAGTGCGAGGGATTCAGACAAAGAATAGAAACATTTTTCAACTAATAATTTTCGTAGTTTACATTTAAAACTAGCAATACTACTGACATTCCTGAGGTTAGCTGAAAGTTTGTTATATATTCTGATGCAGGTGTATTCCGGTGACTTTTCGAACAGCGTCAGTGTGTGTTTTGGAATACTCAGACTCTCACCTGCCCTTGTATTATAATGTATGTTGATGTTTTTGTTCTGTATAAATTTTGTTTTGTTTGTATGTGTGAAAAGGGCGCACTTATAAATATGAATGCTTGGTAGAGTCATGATGTTTTTACTTCTGAAGATATCTCTGCAGGATTCTCTTCTACGAATATTGAATACATAAGCTATTTAAAACAAAATGTGTCAGGGGTGTTAGCAATACATTGCGTTATCTATCGACAACATTTAGTTGCTAAAAATTTGAGTGTTAGATTGCATGAATCACTTCATTTAGTCATTGATGCAGTAAACCGAATCAGAAGCAACGCGTTCAATACGCGGTTATTTGCGCAGTTGTGTGAAGAAAATGACGAACACTTTCATCAATTACTCCTTCACACTGAAGTACGCTGGCTGTCAAAAGGCTTATGTTTGACAAGATTTTTTGCACTTTTTGAGACTATTTTAGAATTTATGGATACTAAAGATACAATTTTAAAAGAAAATTTAATGAAGAGGAAAACAGACATCGCCTATTTAACAGATTTGTTTACAAAATTTAATATAGTTAATTTGCAATTACAAGGCGACAGTTTAAATTTGATTAAAACAAAGTCCATCTTATCAGCGTTTCTTGCCAGAGTTAAACTAATGAAGCAAAATATTGGACGGGGCGAATTTTCTCAGTTGCCCAATTTGTCGCAGACAAGCTGCCAGGAAGACGACGTTTCAACTTACGTTCAACATTTAAATGCCCTCTATTCAGATTTTGAATCTAGGTTTGAGGATATTTTAACTATAGAAGAAACGAATGTCATAATACAAGAGGAACTGACTAACTACGTACAAACGAAGAACTTAAGGTTCAGTTTAAAAACGGATATCAGCAATTCTGGCTGCAAAACAACATACCCGTTACTTATCCCGTATTATGGAATATAGTGAGGAAATTTTTAATTTCCTTTCCATCGTCATACCTAGTGGAAAGGAGGTTTAGCGCTGTTACCAATCTCCTAACGAAAAAAAGAAACAGTCTGGACATCATTAGCCGAGGAGATTTAAGATTATCCCTCACAAAATTGACGCCAAATGATAATTTATCATTAAAGCATCAGGTTCATCCTTCTCACTAAAAATATTGACTTACTGTTTATGTTATTTTATTTATAGTTTATTTTATGTTTATTGGTGTCCGACCAATAAATGCCCGCATTGGGAATAAGTGCCCGCATTGATTTTTTTAAAGAACCCCCCTTTATAGAAATTTTTTTTTAAATTATTCTGAAAATTCAATGGTAGGTACACACTAAAATTCGTTAATTTTCTGCCTATTTTTAGATAACTTAAACGTATAAGAAGCGGAATTTAATCAAACTAACAGTGAAATTATTGTAGAACATACGTTTATGTTATAATTAATAAACGAACTCGCTTATTGTACTATTTTAAGTAAAAAACTTTTTTTTTATTATTTTTCACTTTTTTTTTAATTGTATCCCTCTTATTATTTTTAAACATGGCAAGGGGTCTACGACACAAAAAAGTTTGGGGAACTCTGGTATAGGCTGACTCTACAATTAAATCAGCAAATCAGCAAGACAAGCCTTCTTAGATGGACTGACCACTGGTCTAAGGAATCCGACAGGTACGTGTATCTAACAAATTCGTCATTTGTGTTGTAAAAATGGTGTCAAGTAGACAAAATCTATGCGCCCACGCTGAAAACTTAGCTACACTAAACTTAGTTATATGCGGTAGATTTTGAACCAACATCTGTTAGATACTCTGTTTGTATTATTGTTAGAGTTCTTCAACATTATATGACATAATTATTTCCAGGAAAAGGAAAACGATCTGTTATCTGTCACATTGGTAGTGAAGATGGCTTTGGACATTTAAGTCAAAAAAAACGACCGACTACCATGAAGAAATGGACGGAAAAGTTCATTTAAACGATGGTTTGAAGAAATGCTTCCAAAGTTTGACGACAATAGCGTCGTTGTACTTGATAATGCTGTATACCACACTAGAAACCGAGAAAAAATTCCCACAATGTTCATAAGAAAGGCAGATATTCAACAATGGCTCCTATCAAAAGACAGTAGTTTCAATGAAAATATGGTCAAAGCAAAACTTATCCATCTAGTCAGGCAGCACAAATATAAATATAATCTTAATGTTATTGACGAAATGGCTGAAAACCAAAATAAGGCCGTTTTAAGGTTACCCCCTTATCACTGCGAATTAAATCCCGTTGGAATGATTTGAGCATATATAAAGAACTATGTGGCTTCAAGTAATAGAACATTCAAATGTTCTGACGCCAAAAATTTGTTTTATGAACAGAGTGACGGCAAACCATTGGAAATATTGCATTCGGCACGTTCAAGAGACAATCGAAACAAATATGTGGGATTTTTACAATATGATCGATATTCAAATTGGGCCTGTAATCATTAATATTATCCATTCGGAAGAAAATTCAAGTACTTCCAGCGAATAAAGAATTGTGAAAAGTATGTGCACTTATCTCTATAAAAATATTCATTTATTATTTTAGATTATTCCAAGACCATTGAGCAAAATACGGAGCTGTACAATCTCGCTTTTGGGCATGCTGTGTTTTGTCTGGGCGTAAATGGACTACGAATGGGCTATAGTAAACAGTGATTTTTTTAACCAGTTACATACAAATGTGTACATTGGAACGTCAAAAATACATTCAACTACATATACGTGGATTAATTTAACGGCCAGGCAAACATGGAGGATTATTAATAGAGTATATTCATTTAATCGAAGATTATTTCCGATTGAATATTTGCTTCTACCTTCACCATATTTTTGTAAATACGAAAATAATCAAATTTCATTTTCAACGTCAAATCTACAGAAAATATGTACGACTACTATGTCCATCAGATGCGTAATAATTATGGGGATCAGAAACTTTCTCTGACACCAAAGATGCAACGTTCACAAACCTCTACCCCCTACAACCACAACCCCAATTTTTCACCACTAGAAAGATTGTTGAGATATATTGCCGCCACTGGATCGATTCAAAACCAGCAAAGGTTTTTCGTAATTGGTATGGTAGAAACTGTGTCCAAAACCCAAGCGGTGTTTTACGAGTTATAGAGGTGCCAAGGATTAACTACTTCTCCCTCTTTTTGGTGCTGATACATAATCATCATATTTATAAATCTTAATTACTAATAACTAATCATATGAAACTTGAGAGACACTAACTGTATTTATAATTACCGAGGTTAGAAGCGTGTAAATATATTAACGCCAAAACAGATTGAGATGTAAAATATAAATATGAAAAACGTTTAGTTTACGAAATTAGCGCTGGCTATTTATCCTTCTTGCAACTAATTTCATTAGCTCTGAAAAGTATTTCACCAGTATTTAGTTTAACCACTTTCTGTGTCTATACAAAACTGCATTCTAGTCTACGTGCTTCTTACTTTGTAGACATACTGATAGGTTCAGCCAATTTAGACAGAAACCAAATATATAGAATTTTTGCTTTTCCAGTTATGATTTGTTAATTTTATTCATCTGTGACTTAATATTTTAGTCCGATGACGAAAATTTGAAATGTGCCCATGAAAATGATTTGTAGTAGCCACTGTTGTGGTTGATTTCGCGATAGTAATTGTTTCCTGTAGATTGAGATATTGCTCAACCAGTGGTGTTATCCAGGAACAGATCTGGGGGGAGGCTCAAGATCCAGGGTGACACGAAAATTCCGTCTCGGGGCGGGGAGGCGTGTCCTGGATGGCAGAGGGGGGGTGGACTCGCTTAGTCCAGGTAGCTATACTTCACAGAAGGTATAACATACTGTAGTATGTAGAAGAAGCGTAATGAGCTGTTGCGCTTCGGGAGGGTAGACTCCGATGAGCCCCAAAGCCCTCCCATGAATACGCTGGTGTGCCCATACTACCCATACCAGAATAGGAACAGAGGCGTGGGGTCTGTGGGCCTAGCTCAAAGAGTTCCGGGCTTCTTTCTAATATCATTGGGATTGCACCCAGCCAGCGGCGGCGACGAAGTAAATAAGAAATGATAAGTCCTTCTTGATTCAATTTACAAACTAATGCATTAATCAAAGGAACTATCATGATTTTAGTCATAAAATATTACCAGACATTTGAGAAATAAAATAGTATTTTAAATTTCAATAGGTATTAATAGTAATCCATGTATTTTTTTCTTATGAATGTGGAAGTGGAACAACCAGCAGGTACGCTTATGCAGTCGGCGGCGCGGCATCTCAAAGACAAAAGCTGTATTTTGTGTTTTTGGCTCACAAAGAAATTGACAGTAGCTAAAAAAAAGTCATATTTTTCTATTTAACTCTTACGTTTAGTGGATTTAGCATGGATAATCAGTTGTTGTTTGAGTGTTCTGGAGAGCTATAGTGTTGTAGAAGAAAGAAGATGTCTCGACAACAAACAACCCCGCGTGAGAGACGAATGATCATCAAATGTTATGAGATGGGTATATCCAGCCCGGAGATAGCAGATCAGTTTGATATGTCGGTAAATTATACAGTCTTTTTGATCATAGTACACTTTCAGTGTATAGAAACATTGTATGTATACTGGAAATCAATTTTGAATAACAATATGTATTTTTTTCAGAATGCTACGTGGCCCGTATTAGATTTTTGTAAGAATGCTTTTGTTTATTTGTTACTTTTGTGTATGGATTTATACAGAGACTATTTTTTTTGAGAATCCTGGATTGATTTATTACTTGTTTGTATTTTAAAGGATATTATTTTTATTTTAATTGCATGGAATTGACTGTTTTATTTTATTATTTTATACTATATTATATATACTCCATAATCATTTGAATTTTTATTGAACCACTCACTACCTTAATATAACAATGAGCTGATGGATTATAATTTATTGTTTGGGTAACCTACGTTTTTGGCTTGAATGCCAAATATTTGACCTACCATAGAAAAATTCATCTCTCTATCTCTGTTTGGGGACCAGTTATTAAACAGACCGTCGGCAATCGTTGGTCGGCAATGAGTAATCAGGGGAGCAGAAACACTTCGTTCTGCGACCTGTCTTTATGTAGAGCATCCCTCTTTTTTCCTGTATAATTTATTGCGGTTTATTGCTTTCATCTCCTTTACCGCCGTTTGAGCAAAAGCTAAACATACAGGGTAATGTTTACCTTAAGGACATGCTATAAACAGGTTACAATAACAATAAGAGTTTTGAGCGTAGAAACTAGAATTCTTAGAGAAATTTTACATGGAGTACCAATCAAAACTTTAAGGAGTGTGTATATTTCGTATTTTCAAGTGTTGTGTTCTGAAGATTTAAAAATAGGAAAATTGATACATCATTGTCTTAAAAATCGCCGCAAATCCTTCCAATCTCAAATCTGCCGTTGGTAATAAAGGAATCATCAACTTGAGCACTTTATAGACCAATTACGTATGAGTCAAAGACGAGAGGTAAGAAATCAAAGGTCCTGGCTGGAATGAAGCTTCTCAAACGCTGGGAGATTTTAGGTACGAATTCGCTTCGAGTATCGGCGGAGTGTTGGTAGAGACAGTTGATTATGATTTGTTCACCAAAATATTCATACAGATCATATTGTGGCGGAATCATGAATCTGAATATCCATAATAGTTAGTTAACCAGGCTGCTAAGCATATTATTAGCGTGTATGTCCAGCTTTATATCCACCCTTCAACTGGATAGATATACCCACACACATGCCGGTATACAATAGGTTTTTTTAGTTTATGATTTACTGCCTGGAGGCGACCAAGATATCCAGATAAAGGGAAGAAAGGTTACAGGCGGATGGTTCACCTGAATGGGTTCCCTACTTTTAATTTTATTGATTTCAACAGAGTAATGCGTACTTTGGCATGTCATAGAGTAATTGAGTTTATACAGGGTAATACATATTATAATATTTTCTGTCTAGATATATGATAAATAGCATTTTCTGGAAAATAGGCTTGAAAAATAGAGTGCTTTAGCGTTCCACCCATTGGCGATAACCCACCTGTCATTCTGGTTTACTTCACATTGTGCAATATCAGTAACTGCTGTACTGATTCTAACAGAGGTTGGAATGGATTATTGTTCGGTCACAAGTTTGAAAATGAGTGTAATAGCGCTAAACTTAGTAACCAGAAAAGAAAGCAGATTTTCCAAACTGTGTGCTTACATCCTAAAAGCTTTTTCTGTGTAGATGAAAACAATCACTTTGTTTTTTGAATGTTCGTATTTATTTTTCATTGAACATGAATAATGTAGAGTATAAAATTAAATAAAGAAATGGAACATCACATCTATTTTCTCGCAATATACTTGATCGATCTACTTTGGAAATGTTTGGCAATAATCATTGACGTAGAATGCAAAACTAAATAACAAATTTGTATCGTATTTTCTTCTTTTTGGTACTACCCAGTCATGAATCACAAAAATTTAGTTGTTCAATAAAAAGAGTTCCAGCACGATGTAACTTAAAACTAACAACTTTTTAGGCGAGCATAAAAGAACGGTGGGCCTTTGGAGTCGCTAGCGAATGATCTTATAATCCTCCATGTTTGTCTAGTCGCAAATGAAACCTCATAAGCTAATAGTGCCTACTGATGACATTCCGGCATTCACGGTGACTTTTTTAAGCAAATACATAAGTTATTCTTTGCGTTTAGTGGCGTTACGACTTAAGCGACGATGTCTCAAATTCCAAATATCTTAGAATAACAATAGTCGCCTTTACATCATTAGCGGAGCATCGAAATATTAACAGCCCACGCAACACGTAAAACAATCCAGTGTTCTGCGGTCAACTACCTTCAGGTGACCTTCATTCCTGGATGTTTACCTTCCTGCTGACTAGCTGCTATATCACAGACATCACAGTTTAACTGCATGTAGGATTTGGTATACCACAATGTAATTTCAGACACTTCGCCAAAAACTGTTTTAACGACGGAGTGACGCTATTCTTCTATAGTCCATATCATTTCGCCACTACTTGCTTAACCACCTTAGGCGCTAATGCGACGTTGCAGTTCAGTATTTTGGCAGGCCAGAAGATGAAGGAGGTATGTTCAACTTCGATGGCTAATTTTTGTACCTTCACCCACCTTCTGCAACCGCCTACCCCCAATTTTTGCCCCCGCAAAAAGATTAACTTCGTTTATGTAACGCCAATAAACGAAGTTTTAGCAGTTTTTTATGTATTTTGCCCTCTGCCACAGGATCTATTTTCAAGAACTACAAGGGTTTTTCATCATATTATAGTAGCAACAAGCGGTGCAGCAATTTTATCGGACAGAACAACAAACAGACAGACTGACAGAAATGAGCTATTTTTTCGAAATGTTATAGGACAGTCTAACATCAAAAAACAATATCTGGTTTTCTAAATTTTTCATCTTTACAATACTCCCTCGCGAGATGGCGTAGGAAGTAGGAATTGATCCATGGAACTAATCATATGAAACTTGAGAGACACTAAAACGTTATCTCAAAGTTTGAAGAAGAGCCACCATTGCTTAAATGCTCCGCTCAGAGCATAATTCCGGGATTGCTGTCGTATTGACGTGTTCCCATATTATATTGATTTCGTAAAGAGAAACAATTATAGAAACGCTAAAAAACTGTCCGTTGAGCAGCAATAAAACATTACTGCAGAATTTTAAGGTTATCTAGCTTCTGAAATATTTAGTTTCTCTCGTATTCTGGTACTTGGTATGAAAGCTGATCGTGGTCCACGTATAATCAGTCCGCCTTTATTGCTACAATAGGCGTATTACGTGTGGGTTGGGAAAAAATGTATCTCCGCGCTGAGGATACCTTATGGCGCTAATGTAATAGAAGATAGACCTCTATAACGTATAGTGCAATATGTGTGTGTGTGTGTGTGTGCAATATATTCTGCTTATTTACCTTTTAGCATTATTACTTATAACATCCGGAGCTCTCAACTGATAGTTCACTCCAAACAAAACGTAAGGAGCATCGACGACTAAGGATGTAGACCTCAAAACGTTTCTGTACATCTTTCTCGTCTTCTGTTTGTATAACTCACAGTGCTGCTTTTTGTATTCCATAAAGAATATTCTGTCTTCGCGCAATGCAAACTCGTCAATCCAAAATCCTAATTTTACTGGTAACGAGTAAATTATTCTGTTCTTGAAGGCGAGCTCGCGCTCTTCTTGTTCTTGTTTTGAAGCCATGGCGGGAAATGAAGTGCAAAAGACAAAGACTTGAAATATATACGTGTGCGCAACTTTGACAACTTTTTGACGTATATGTACAAGACTTCATATGCACTATACGGTGAGATGCAGTGCTGAGCGGTATACTACTAAGAAAAACCGACTTCCAGAGGCGTTCTTTAAAAGCGCATACCTCCGACATGAAGTGGTATTTCGAAAGGAGAAATTCCTTTACGCCAAGCAAACTTTGCTATCACAGATTATTGGCTATACTACAGACTACAAATAACATTCTCTCCTAATTCCTAGTACTGCTGTTAACAGCACCACCTCACGGTTGCTCTGAACGCTAGCTCAAAACAAACTAAACGAAAACGACGATTGTTTACAGGAGTCTGATCAGTGACGCCTGCCCCATCTGTTATCCGCGGTTTGTATTATACTTACCGTCAAATGTTATACATGGTGCTGTTAATTATGCTAACTTGAAAAATATATATTCGTTATAGGATTTATTTATTTATTGATTTATTCTTTCATTCATACACTACTCAACAGCAACATCCATTTATAGAGTAGGACACAGTCCGGATTACAAAAAAAAAACAATTATTTTATAGTACAAGCAAGAGTAGGTAGTTCGAACACAAAGGTATTATTTACAAATATGTACAAATATCATAGTGCAGGTAAGAAACATACAAATCCTAACAGAAATATATCCAATTGTTCTGCAAACGGTAGACAAATAAAAGGTAAGAAACTGTTTAGAATTTAAACGTGGAACAAGAAAATTAAGTTTATAAAATATATTGCAGCAATCAATAGAATTGTGCAATATATGACGCACGAAATTAACGGAGCACTTATATCGCCTTTCCCTGAGACTTTCTAGATCAAAGGCTTCTTCTAAAATTTTTTGAAGTTAGTCAATTGGCAGGTAACTGCCATTTTCCTTGATATTTTAGTAGTAATCGTCGCTGGATATTTTCAAGTTTATCTATCCAAAAGTTATAGAAATATATAACAATTGATGCATATTCAAGCTTTGAACGAATAAATCAGCAATATAAAAGCTTTAGCAATAACTGTCTCCATATGACTATTGAAGCAATACTTACTATTAAAAATGACACCTAAGACCTTGACTTCGCTTAAGCGATTGAAAGGCGCACCACCAATCTTATAAGCAAATACGGTTGCTTGAGTTTTGTTGGAATAACTGACCATACTACACTTCGCAGCATTTAAAGGTAAACTATTTTTTGCGACACCAGCTGTCAAGTAAGTTGATGTTATTATTGCAGCTTTAATCATCAAGAGACCGGATCGGACGAAGAAGCTTGAGATTGTCAGCATATAGGAGAAACTTGACAGTTAATTTAATTTCTATATCATTTATGAACAATAAAACATAATGGCCCCAGGACAGACCCTTGAGAGACACCAGACGTAATCGTATAACTATTAGAACTGAAGACGTTGTGCATGATGTATGTGACTCTCTGAGATAGATAGGATTTTATGAGCGATAGGAGATGACCAATCACGCCAAAGTTAGCTAAGTTGTCTCGGAGAATGCCATGATCTACCCGGTCAAAGGCTTTCGAGAAGTCAGTAAAAACGATATCAATTTGAACACGAGAGTCCATGTTTTCAGATTTATACTACTGTTCAGTGCAGAATAAGTTTTTACCATTCTGTTGAGTTATTAAAGTATTATGCACATGCATCATAGATAAGAAACTCAAACACTTATAAAAAGTTGTTGATAATCGTGATTTGTCTGTAATTTTCAATATCGCACTTGTTTCCTTTATTCGTAAAAACCATCTTTGAGACTTTCCACGATGACGGGTAGATACCATTATTTAGCGCTAGGTTATATGTATATCATTGTTAGAGGCTTTGCAAACACAGGTAGACAGTCTTTCAATACAAAACCAGGAATTGCATCTGGTCCGGGGCATAATTCAGGTTTTGTCGTCTCATCGCTTTATAAACTTCATCTACATTCAATAACGTCAAAATTAAAGAATTATGTCCAATTATCTGGTCAGAGTTAGTTTTACCACTTGAACTGTTTATGAAAGAGTTATGAAAATAGTCAGCAAAGCCATTCAAAATGTCTCGATGGTCACTTATATCCAAACCATTATATACCATATTTTAGGGTATTGAGCCTTGACCTCACCTGTTGTTGACAAAAGACCAAAACTTTGAAGGATCTGGCCTTATATCATCTAATTTTTATAAGCAGTATCACTGTCTCTTTTGATCTTTAGTCTAAAATCTTTATAATCTCGCAAAACTTCTTCATCAGGATTTCGCTTTAGCCTCCTAAATAGTAAATCTTTAGCTCTGATATCATTTATCACACTTCCATTAAATCAAGAAGGGAATCGTCTGTGACATTTGGTGGTAGCGTACTTAGGGACACAGTATGAAAAAAATGCGTTTGATGTATCATAAAATTGCTTACAAGCTTCTTCTCAACATCATTTAGGCTATCAATAAAGCTCCATTTAGTGCAGAATAGCTGATCATACAAGAAAGAAATATTAGCTTTTCTAAAATTAAAAGAATTGGGCTTCATTCTATCAAATTGTCTTGCTCGTTTGGGAATTAATTCATTAATGAAGACAACTACAGATGGATGATCCATATGCTCCATCAATAGGGAATCACTACATCTACATTACAGCAATGTTGCTCACAACAATATCTAAGAGTCTCATGCTGAAATTAAAAACGTAGTTGTACTGCTCAAGAGAATAGAAATTGTAAAAGTTGATAAGGCTACTAACAACAGTTGATTCCACTCTATTTAGGACATATGGAATACCCAGTAATATTAAGATCTCCCATAATTAATACATTAGCATCATGCAAGGAATGAACAGCACATTATTCACCAAATCATACAGTTTCCTAGTGTTCATCCACCTTCATTCTATAAAATAACATACAACAGAGAATAAGGAGCATGTAAGTAAATACATAAAGTTTATAAAACGCCGTCAAGTGCATCCACATTCATTCAGAGGTCTCGACATACATACATCTGTTCCCCCACGTCCGAAGAGGATGCAGACGAGGGGACACAGCCTGTCGGTCGAGTTATAAATTTCGCTGGTAAGCTTCCCAATAATTTTACCTCGCTCCATTAGTTGAGTCCTTAGAGCTGCACATTCCTACAGTAGCCCCGAATGCTCCCCTTTCAGGTCTCTGTAGAAAGCTTCTATCAATTAGGCAATTCTGTTCTCTCTCATGTCAGTTATACAGGGTGTCCGCAAAGTTGGGGTTTTCCTTTACACGACGTGTAGATCTTGAAAACATAAGCAATTTTTCTTAGTACCATATACACCAATGTCTTAAGGGAACCGTGATAAAGGGCTCTGCAACATCAAAAATATCTGAATACCGTCCTGTAGCCGCCACCCGCCGCAATGTCCCAGACTGGTACCGGCTACTAGCTGAACCCGACGACAGAACTGGGTCGGGGGTCGGGGTCAGTGTGTCAGGTCAGTATGCAACCTTCAACCGACGGTAAAGGGTCACGCGTATAGAGGTAACGAACCCGTATAATCGATTGCGTTTCAAAAAAAAAATAATAATGGCACACTCATACACGAATAATGAACTCGTTGATATGTTGTTAATTTATGGCGAATGTCTTAAAAATGATACAGAATCGTCGCGAGTGTATGCAGATCGTTTCCCTAGACGACATCATCCAAGGCCCCGCAGATTTGTGTACCTGGTCCAGAGAGTCAGGGATACGGGCCATTTGGAGGAATGTCGAGGTGGGCACAGTGGGAGGCCTAGACAACCACGAATGGTGCAAGTTGAGGAAGAACTACTGAATCGCGTAGACGAGAATCCCTCAATAAGCACTAGAGACGTGGCTAGAGAAGTGCAAGTATGAAAAACTAAAGTGTGGCAAACGTCCAACGTGTACAAGCCCTTCAACCTGACGATTTTCCAGCAAGAGTGCGGTTTTGTGAGTGGTTGTTGCATCAACATGACAATAATCCGGACTTTTTGAAGTGCATATTGGTGACAGACGAATCTACGTTCACCCGTAATGGGGTGAATAACTTTCGATTTCAGGCAGAGACGTACTTAGCCCTTCTCGTCAACTGGAGAGGGAGTACTTTTTCCTTTATTTTTTTTACTTGGTCGCCCTCGTTTCACTACACATTACCTTTGTTATTTCAAGAGTAGTTGTTTCTGAAAAGGAAAACCCCAACTTTGCGGACACCCTGTATAGCCTGTGTCTCCAGCAGGCCGTCTCTATACTGAGCGCCGTAGTGATACCTCTCAACGGGTACTCTAGCTCTGTTCTGCTAATGGTTTCTGTTGATTACCTAGGTACTATTTTAAATTTGAATCAAATTACTTCTCGCAGACAGTGCATCTTTGACAATTCTTTTTTTCAGTACTTGAAAAAATAAGTTAAGTTGCGCCATCGGAGGATGAGGAGTAGCAAATAGAGAATGAACAAATCAAAACATATATGTTAGGAAACTTTATCAAATGAAACTATCAGATGCCTGACTTGACCTGACCTGACTTGATCTATTCATATCGAGCAGACCGTCGGTCTTTAACCCGTTTTTTCGAATGAAAGGTTCCTTGAAGAAGGAGCGCAAACCTAACCTAATCAGATCAGTACATACTAGAAATTGTGAATAGAAACACAGCTATTGATAAATGTGCATTAATTATTGTAGGGCTAGCCGTGGACGTTTGTATTTTTAAACATCAGCCACAGGGTAATTCACAGCCTTCCTCACCAGATGGTTAGAAGAGCTGCCTGCTCTTGTATTTATATGCCTTAGTTGCAAGTTTTTTGATAAACTCACTGAGGGGACGAATATTGAGACCTGAATGTGGAGTGTGATTCGAAACATATTATGGAGCTCCCGTGATGGAGCGAGGAGCTCTATGTTGAATTACCTCTAATGCATACATGCACAGCAACAAAGCACCAAGCCGCACATGCATACGTCATGTTAGGCCTAAAAATGGATTTGTATAATATACACGTAGTTATAGTTCGCTAATGCGCACAATGTAAGGACCGCAGCAGCAGCAACATTTACGTCCATATCGCTCAACGTTGCGAACTTTGCGAACGATGACTGTGAAAATGCTGCGAACTATTGCGAGTGTGGAGTCCATGGTAAAGTCTTGGCAAATTCGCGCCGCGAAATCGCGCCGTGATTCGCGGGCTAAGTGTAGAGCGCTCTTAAGAGTAATTTATTTGAGGTTGATAATCGAATATTTCCCAAAGTCATTTAGAAGTTACACAGCCGTGCTTGGGGCAGACATAACATGGGGCCTTCCAGGTTAATTTTCAGATGCCATTGTGTTGTCGCAGTGCGGGTAACCGGACAAGTGGATACGAGACTAAAGGCGTGCTTAAATATCTTTAGAGATTTGCCACAAGACAAACAAAACAAATTGACAAAAATGTGATTGACCCCTTCAAATATCGATATTCTGACACATATTTCCGAAAATAGAGCAACAGAATGGCAAGTAGACGAGAGCAGCAAGAACGGGATGAAATGTTGCAGAACAGGATTATATACTCTTTGCCTACACGAATGGGAAACTGGAATGAACAGCTTGCGTTACGCGAATACGAAACAGCTATGGCCAAATACAAAATGCAGCACTGTCGGTTGGTTGTTCAGAATGTGAAAAAAGTATTCCATAGCGTTCTAAAACCGACGTCGTTAGCAGTAGAAGCACCGTCTGTCCAATTCGGACTGAACTATCAATTGAAAGCTCTCGCATCACCATCTAAAGATACAACAAGGTAAATAAAAGCGTTTTAATAACTAGCTGCTGGATTCCGTGATTCTACATACCATTTGAACAAAACTTAAGTGTATTCAGTAAAAAGAAAATAGAATACCCACTAAAAACGATTTTATTTCAATGAAAGATATACAGTTAGACGTATCGCTGGATTTCCCTAATACGTTAGGACATCCCGACGCTGATGTCATTCGATCAGGTAAAGAGTGTGCGCAAGCAGATGGAACTGATACAATTTATTGTTCCCGCCTTGCAGCTTTCACATACAAACACACGCATATAATATGAAATTGGAATGGATAAAAAAAATATCCACAAAGAACAGGCATGTACTCGTAGCAGAGTACCAGGTACATATACTTTCATATTTGCCCATTCATTCCAAATATCCACTGCGTAACTGTTAATTTTGACATTTGCTCAAGGATGTGGCCTTAAGCTTCCATAACTGTTCACCATTTCCCTATCGCAATCACCCTTTCCGCAAATATAACATACATTTTTTTACTTATATGCTTTGCACTTTCAATTCCTATGCCACACTTGGATTTACCTAAAAAAAAGCTTATTTCCATTATTTTGATTAAATTATGTATGAATAATTGAATAACTAAAAATTAAATTTATTTTGTTAATATAGAAATTATTTAGGAAAAAAAATATTTTATGTTTATAATTTTTTTTATTGTAATATATCTTGAAATTTTATTTTAAAAATCGAGACGATTCTATTAAGAATTATTTGTAGGGGAGAAGCAAATAATTTGGAGTGAGGGGCTTAAATTTATAGCTAATCTATGGGGAGATTTATTAGCTAGGTTACGCCTCTTTTGCGCCCCCTTAAGAAAGTTATGTTAGTAATAATTTTTAAATAGATGTTAATCTAGGTATTAATTAAAATTTTAATTTATATAATAATTAATTTACAATTATTAAAATTGGATAGGGAATAAGAAATAAGTTATTAATTTAATTTAGTGTAGTAAGATATTTCATTTTATGTTTCATTTTTTTTAGTTAAAAATAAGGCTTTTTAGCGTAAAAATTAGGTTATTCTTTTTTTTATGTAAATTTTTGTTAGAAATTAGAATTTATTTTAAAAATATTTTAAACAGTTTATTCGCAGTAAATAAAATTAAATGTTTAAATAAATTTAAATTTAGAATATAATTTAATATTAACAAAATTGGTGCCAGCAGTTGCGGTTAATACAAATAATATGAATTAATTTTTTTAGTTGAAGTTAGTTTTTAAAAATAATTTTTGTAATAAAATTTATTAGGTGAAATTTTAAATTTTATATAAAATTTAAATTGTAAAACGAAGCTTGGAAATTTTTTATTTAAACTAGGATTTCGTTCCGCCATCTAAATCTATGCATGTAGGCCCGAAAATTAGCATGTCCGGTGACAAGCTGGCAAGTCCTAAAGCTTAGGTCCAGCCTGCCCTCTCCGTTCTCTTTGCATACCTCACCTTCTGACTACTATTCCACTTTTGCATTCTCTCATTACTCGATCTTTCATTCTAATTTCGCTTCCCTCTTGTCATACGCCCACGCAATATTCCATTCGATCTACTGGTTTTCTCGTCATAATTTTGCGTTGTCTTCCGTTTCAATCGTGCCTGCAACCTGCCTTCTTCTAACCCATATAATCCTCACTTTCATAGCTAGTTCCTTCATATACCCAAAAATTTCTTTCACTTTTACCCTGGTTTTACCTCCACATCCATTTATGCATCTGACGGCGACCTGGTTGTCTGTTCTTACGCTCCTTTCACATTACACGATTTCGCTCGTACGGAAAAAAATCGCCCGATTTTTAATCGTGGTACGACTGAAACCGCCTGGTGTGAAAGCGTGCATTTGGTCACGTAGCCCACTGAGCTAGAGGGCGATACGGTAGCCGTACGGTTCTAGTGGCACTGGACGGCTGCAACGCGTTTAGAAAACGTGCCCGTGTTGTAATTGTGTAATGTGAAAGGTCTCGTGCTCTTCAACAGTCGATCAAGAAAAATTGCCCGGGCGATTTTTTTCCGGACGAGCGAAATCGTGTAATGTGAAAGGAGCGTTACTGTCAGCGACGACCATTTATGCTCCTTTGCCTTTGAAGGCATTTATTTCCATATCGCTACCATCTGTCCGTGTGAAGTATTGGACGACACACCCTCTACCCTTTCCATTCAGTCCATACCTGATCTTGTTCACTATACCTCCCACACCGGTCCCACATGCACTGCACATGTTTTCCAAGTTGGGTAAAGTTTATCTATAAAATATAGAAACTCTTGGTTATGTGATTGCAAAAAAACAGATTGTATTGTTGGCGATGTCATCTGTTTTATACAGAAAAAAATGGGTGGATCAGCAGCGGAGTCAACAATTTGAATAGTTTTAGGGTTCTAAAGAGGAGACATGAAATTTCTGCTTTACATGTGAGATGTGTAGTCAATTTAATTCAGTTTGGCAAAACAAGAATTACCGTTCATTTTGAAGGGGATGACTCTGACAGTACAGGAAATTACAGGGAATTGTTAACATTCATTGCCAAAAAAGATCAAAAATTTCCCGAACATCTATAAACGTCGACTGTTTTTTCGGACGGCTTGGATTAGACATAGCATGCGGTATATCAAATGCCCAGACGCTCACTCCAGGAATGTTTACGTTAATTTAAAAATAGTTTAATTAAAATACCTAAGATAAGCAAAAATCTATTTGGGAGGTTCAAAATAAACCACATCTGGTTTTGGTAGCAGTTTAGGAAAAGTCACGTGTCGCCAATGGTCCCTTTGGTAGGCAGTAGTAGTCAAATTCGCCAAAAGTATGCTCTAAAACTACACAATCTTGGCGTCAAACAATGCAATTTAAACATACATTCCTTATATCAAATAAGGTCATTTTTGCATGATTTTTTCTTTGTCAATCAGCATTATAAGCTTGAACAATGTGATTTTCTTACCCCGATGTGGTTTAGGGCGTCACCAGACTTATGGTACGCGCCCGCATTGCACGCGTCGGCATCAACGGCGTGTGTTCATTTTCATTCCACCGGCTGTGCAAATCACAAAGACAAAACATGCGCAGATCACAAAGTATATACACAGACGATTATCTGTCTGAAACATGGAAAATAAGACTGCAGATCCAATTTATATATACAGGGTGTCCCAAAAGGTAGTGATAATCGGAAGCCCAAAGGTAGAACCCCCTTGGAAAGTCCGAATCACTTCCACGTGCATAATCCATTTTTTCTTTAATTCGGGAGTAGGTAATGTTTTTCTGATTTTCCGGTAATTTTCAAGTTCCGAGATTATTGTAGTCATGACTTCGCGAATATCTCAGATAAAATCCTGCTATTTTCGTTATTATTTTGCTTAACTATCTAGAGCTCAATCGAATCAAGTAGTTAATACTACAATTTAAAGTTAAGAAATTAACATGACATAACAAGAAGGTAAAAAATATCAACAAAACTTAGTACGTTTTTTTTTAATAGAAATATTTTCCCAGTCATTAGTTTCTTAAAAACTACCGCACCTTATCAACTATTAACCACAAAAATTTTGGTTCAAATAGAACGGAACCTAAATTTTGATAACTCACTTTTCAAACTTTACAATAGAAATTGTTAGTTACGGACACAGCAACTGTAAAAACAGCAATAACCTTCCAAACATACTTCTACTAACTACTATCTGCGAGGCGAAGCACTCAAGTATTGTTCAGACCAACGAAAGCATCATGCTTAGTTTGAAAAGACCGCCAACCATGGGCAGCTGTTTCGTGCTTCTTGGCTACTCAAGCATGGTCTAGGCTTGGTCGTTTCCTGTGGACAAACGGACGAAAGCTTCGCAACTATCCTCTATACCGGAGGTACGGACTATCGAAGTAAGACAGTCGAAAGCGCCATCTATCACACCAGAATCGACCACTGAGGAAAGCGCATAATTGCTATTTGTTTGAACTGTTGAGGATCTCAGCTCGTGTTTAGTATCCTAGTCACCGCGTGACCGCTAGATGGCTGACTATTCTGGCTGCAAAGTAGACGCCACTGGTAAGTAGACCACGCCTACTTTACAGTCAGAATCGCCAGGCATGTAGCGGACACCTGGTGACGCAAGCTGAGATCCTCAACAGTTCCAACAATATGAGGAAAGAGGTACGCAACCTGATTCTAATCTCAAAGAGAAGATTCTGGGCCGATGTATGCGAAGATTTAGAGGCAGACATCTGAGGAAGGGGCTATGAAATAGTGACTGGCAAGCTAACAGGCCGGACGCCAGACTACACTCTAACTAAAGAGATGGAACACTCCGTTGTAGAGCACCTTTTCTCAGTCCGAAACGACACACGGACAACACACCAGGTCGTGGAGGAGGTCCCACCATTCACAATGGAGGAAATGTTCATGGCAGGGGATAGATTAAAGAACAGGAAAGCACCAGGGCCAGATGGTACCCCGCCAGAGGCGGTCAAGTCAACATTGGAAACCATCCCGGACAGAATGCTCCATATGCTAACGATCTAATTCAGTCAACAAGTGTTTCCAAGCAGCTGGAAGAAGGCCAAGCTGGTGCTCCTGCTGAATCCCGGAAAACCACCCGAGCTGCTATCATTTCATCGACCAATTTGCCTCCTAGATACAACAGGCAAATTGAATGAAGTCCTCATACGTAGTAAACTGGAAGAGAAGCTCGAAAGCGGCGAGGGGCTGTCCGAACGTCAATACGGATTCAGGAAAGGGAGGTCAATAACTCAAGCTGTTGCCGCGGTCATGGCAGTGGTAAACGACCCTGGGGATAAATGGTGTTACGTAGTCACGCTGGACGTAAAGAACGCATTCAACACAGCATCTTGGCAGGTTATCATGAAAGAGTTGGAAAGACGAAACGTTTCAATCTACATCAGAAACGTACTTAGCAACTGCTTCCAAGATAGACGACTAGAGGAAGATCACGAAGAACGCCACGTCACGACTGAGGTACCGCAAGGCTCATCTCTTAGCCCACTACTTTGGAATATCCTCTATGATGGAGTCTTAAGGCAGAGGATGCACCCAGGCATAGAGCAATTTGGTTTTGCTGATGACTTCGCAATTGTCGCCACGGCCAGAGATGCTGATTCGCTGATGTGGAGTGTCAACGAAGCGGTGAGGAGAACAAACAGATAAATGAGAGACCACTACCTGAAGCTAGCCTCTTCAAACACCGAGGCGGTGATTGTCAAAGGATCCAGACAGAATTGCGATCAGGTACGCTTCATGCTTGGAGGCACCCAGGTTGTCCCTTTTAACTCACTAGTCTACCTAGGAGTTACAATAGACAAAGAGAGGACCTTCAGGCAGTACATACAGAGAGTAACCAACAAGGCAAACAAAGTTTCGGCCAAGCTAGCACGAATAGTGCCCAACACTGGTGGTCCAAGCCGTGAGCGATGGAAGATGTTGTACGGGGTAGTGCAGTCAATCATCCTGTATGCAGTACCCGCTTGGCAGAAGGCCCTGACGTACAAGAAATATCAAGCAATGCTCGATGCCGCACAAAAAAAGCGCTGCTAAGGGTGGCTAACGCGTATCGCACTGCCTCAGCGCGGGCGCTTCAGGTTATCACCACAATACCTCCCCTCCATTTGATAACCAAACAGAGGGTACAAGTATACCAAGGCGATAGTACACCAGCAGAGAATAAAAGGGAAGCGGAAGCAAGACTGATGACCGAGTGGCAATCTGAGTGGGACCAAACAACTGACACGGCACAGTGGACGACATGGCTGATACCAGTGATAGCTATCTGGGTGGAGTGCAAGCACCGCCAATTGCACTACTATCTTACCCAGGCATTAACTGGGCATGGGCCATTCCGTAGTAACAGAAAAAGAATGGGGCATATCACTGATGGCGAGTGCTTAACCTGTATAGTGGAGGAGACTCCTCAGCATATCCTTTTGCACTGTCCTAGGTGGGAGGCATATAGAGCAGAAGCCCGGACCAGGCTCGGAGTGCTATTAACACCGGAGGATATGGTAGAAGAAATGGGCCACGCAAAGGATAAATGGCAGACCATCGTCAGAATTACCAGGGACATCCTGAGTAGAAAGGAAAGAGAACAGTGTAAAACCAGGGCAATGGGACAAGAGGACCGAAACATTCAACCTCCCCGAACTCCTAATCCGATCGATCCGGGAAGGGAGACGTATTGCGAAATCAAGAAAATGATGAAGAAAAAGAGCGCGAAGTTATACCGAGAGTGGCAGTTCCAGCACGGCAGGAGGTTCATAGACCCACTCGCTCCAGGCTGCGGCCTGGCGACGGTCCTAATAAAAACAGTTCCAACAGCAGTTATACGCTTTCCGCAGTGGTCGATTCTGGTGTGATAGATGACGGTTTGCGCTGACTTATTTCAAGCATTGTTCACCAAAGGTTTTTGAAACTTTCTTGCTGATTTTAGAATTCTTGTGCCCGTACCTAGTAATTTCTATTGAAAAGTGAGTAATTGGAACATTAATTAAGGTAGCATGTAGTAACGCTACATCGATAAGATTTTTAAGGTTAATATCTGATAAAGTAAATATGTTTTTGTGATTCGCAGGATGCTATCTCCGATAGCACACACAGAATAATTGTGAAAAATAAATATTACCAGAAAAGCCTGGTTTAGTTGTACAAAGCTTGAATACCTGTACCTTTGACGGATTTATGCTAAAAAAATCTCGAGCTAACCGTGTGACATAAGACCTACCTATGGACGCACACCTTTAGGCTTATTCAGTTCGATAGGAACGAATTTACTTTATTAGCACACTTTTTATAGCCTATACCTATCATGCCTGCTGAATGAAACAGATAATGATGTTATCCAGCACTTTCAACAAGGATGCTGCTTTTCTGCATCTCCGCTCAGAATACCTTGCGTGAGGAATACATTCAGGTTACGCAGTCCTATACATGATGAAGTCGATCAGCGGGTAAGCAGCAATAACATCAAATAAAATCACAAATTCATCAACGTACCAACGGAGATACGATTTCGCCTCAACCGTAGGCCATTTTACTATTTAAAACCAGAAGGTGCATTACGTTATCGTGCATTTTTTCGTTATTGAAAATATGTTGAAATTTTTATAAAGATTGTTTTCAATATTTTTTATGATAGCGGAGCTATTAACCGATTTCGCACTCAAAAATTCACCCGCCTTCAGTCACATGTGATTGTGGCGCGCCGCCGAAGATGCTCATCAAAATCTCCGGTGAATTACCGGCGGTGCTCCACGAAATACTGCAATGCGCATAGAGAACAGCGAGCCGCTGCGCTGGCGAGTCGTCGAAGGACCTCTATGCATTCTCATTCATGTTGAAACTTAAGGCTACGAACATTAACTGATCTGTTTTTTAGAGACTTCAGCAGTCCTTTTGCGAAACATACACCTCATTCAAATAGTATAGAAAGCGCTTAAAGATCGTGCTCATGGCAGCTGACTGGAAACAATGAACATATTATCACAGTCAGTAGGTACTTTTTGGTTGGCATGTAGTCACATTTATGTCACAACTACATTTCGATCAGGTTGAGGCTAGGCAACCCTACTCTCTAACCGGTTCTATCACGTATCGTTCAGAAAAACTAATTTTCTTCGTGAAAAAAAGGAATATACCGAACTGATGGTTTCTAAAAAGCGCGAAACATCGTTGTATATGGTTGGTTATCGTCACAGAAAAAAGCAAACAGATCCTATTCAAATGGCAAGTAGTTAATGTATTTTTTTCATTGCATTTAGGTGCGCTATGGACAAGACCTGTTGATAGAAATTTATGAAAGTGGTGACGGGGAGCCCCTATTTCTTCGCTCTGAAAATCTCTCCACTGACACTTTTGGGGAGCATCGGGCAATAAGAATGTCCAAGTTTCCTGACATTTATTGCAGGTAACCTTTTTTTTTTTGTTTGTTGAAGATTTATTTACCATTGATGTTGCAATGTCAATTTTGTATAATTATTCGCTTAGATATTTTTCTACGATCCAATTTCTGTAATTTACATTCTTGTCTATTAAAATTACATCACTATGCATATTGAATTCTAACACTGTTTATCATTGTTCAATTTACAGATGAAAATCTATAGTGCCTCTAGTTTCGTAGTTATGATAATGACTATTTAATTTTGTGAAGTTTTATGAATCTGGTGGTAATAAATGATTGTTTAATTTGAATATGAAAACGAGAACAAAATAACATATGAAATTTTTCTCATTCAACCACTGTAGTTCTTTTAACATAGACTTAATGCTAGCATGTTTGTTTTTATTTAAAATGATTCTCATAGCTTTATTTTGTAGAATTTGTAATTTTGAAAATATGTTTTCATTTGCTGTAAACAAAATAGTTGAACAGTATAAAAAATGTGAAGAATTATGGTGTTATACACACTTTTTTGAAATAATGTATTTATAATGCTCGTGAAACAGTAGTTTACTATCCACAAATTATATACCCAGATATTTAAATGATTCGACTACTTCAATTTTTTCATCATTAATCATGAGCCTAATTGTGTTGTCACCTAAATGTTTCTCTATTGACATTCATTTTGTCTTATTAGTGTTTGAGTTCATTAACATTTAACCAATTCATAATTTTTTTAATGTCACTATTTAACAGTTCTAAAGCGTGTCCAAATGTCCATGTATCGCCCGCAAATATTTGAATTTTGCAGTGTTCTAAAATGTCAGAGATATTTACATAAATAATAAATAATAACGGCCCTAATTTACTCCCCTGTGGCACCCCTACTGATATATTTTGAACGCTTGACATAATATTTCCAACTAAGTTTTTTGAGGTCTTTTTACTAAATAATTTTGTAAAATGCTTTAAAGCCATAGTGGTGCAATTGCATTAATAAAACATTTTCCCGATCTATAGTCTCAAATGCCCTTTGGAAGTCTAAAAATAACAGTACATTCTTTCTCATCTTTACTTCTTCTCCAATCTTCCATCACCATTTGGATTGCTGTTTCCGTAGATCATGTTTTTCTAAATCCAGCTTGATTTTATGTCAAAATTTTGTTTTCTTGAATAAATTCAATGATTTGTTCGTATATTATCCCTTCGAACAGCTTCTCGACATCTGGCAAGACATTCATCGGTCTCATATTTGTATACAGCTCAGAATGTTGAACTTTTGGCACAGAAGGAATGGTGGAACACTTTAATTTTGGGAATTCACCGTGTACTAAACAATGATCCGCCAATAATAATAATTTCTCTAGAATTATACCTGACCTCCTAAAATGGTTGATTTGTAAAAGACCCTACAGAAACCTTATGGGCTTTCGGCTATTTTTTTAAGTCCAGCATGTTGTGGATTTCAATACGTTAAACGGAAGTGTAGATGGGCCCACAAATGTTCCACGAGTAGTTTCCAATGTACAGGGCCTCTAAATAGGGCAGCATTAACCTATTACAGCGAATTGTGGGGTTGATACACGATATATAATACTTATTGGATATTTTTATGTTATTATCATCTCTATGACACAAACTTTCTCAAAAGCTCTTCAGAGATATCTTGCACTGTCCCTATGGGAATATATTCCAAAAAAAATGTTCGGAATTATCAGGTGTCCCACTAATGATCTGGATATCAATTTTGATTTGATAGAAATCTATATTTTCTATTACATTTACTTACTACTACCACTTCTGTGATTTACGGAGGTTTTTTTTCGATATGATATATTTTGTCTGCAGAACAGTATGTCAGCCAAGTTGTTCCTTGTTATATTTGTTATACTTGCACATCCTATAACTCTGAAGACATTGATACTGGAGCGTTCTGTCCATGACCAAAGCGATATGGAGAATAACAATCCAGCTAATTTGACAGGGTATTTTCTATAAATATTTCGATAACTTACACAGCCGATAACTTGGAAACCATTGATATTCCAACTTTCTGCCCATAAAGAGTTTTGAACGAAATCGTATAGATAATATCATACTAAAATAACAGCCAGTTTATTCGAAATTTATTTTCCATGATAATTGTAATAATCTGATATCATCGAAAAATGTGTCTGAAAATCGGCAGACATCTAGCAAATTGGTGAAATCTTTGAAACTTTCTTGCTGATTTTAGAATTCTTGTGCCCGTACCTAGTAATTTCTATTGAAAAGTGAGTAATTGAAACAAAATTAAGGTAGCATGTAGCAACGCTACATCGATGAGATTTTTAAGGTTAATATCTGATAAAGTAAATGTTTTTATGATTCGCAGGATGCTATCTCCGATAGCACATACAAAATAACTGTGAAAAATAAATATTACCAGAAAAGCCTGGTTTAGTTGTGCAAAGCTTAAATGTATGCAACTTTGACGGATTTATGGTGTAAAAATGGGTGAAATCGGCATTATACGAGCTATTAGTCAATAGCCAAAGAAACCATGAAATCATGTTGGTGATCATATCTTTTTTGAATTTATTAAGGTTTAATACCCTATCGAAAACAGTTCATGTTGGCACCATAGTACATTGGCGACTCTTTACCAGATTAGGATAGATAACAACATACCTACTCAAATTTCAGCCAATTTGAGCAAGAGCTATTTTTTATAAGCAATGTGCATGCTTTGCGTTTTAGCCGATTGCTATTCTTACATTAACTGGACTTTTTTTCAGTGATATATTATTTGGGAATATATCTTGTAAATTTAATTGAGAAATATCAAAATATAATTTCAAACAAAAAAAACAGTCTCAGGTAGCGATTTTCTAGAGATTCTTTAAAATAGCAAAGTAATTTTGGGGCACCCAACTTGATGCCACCGATGCAAGGTCTTTGGTAATTCGGTACCTAAATCTCGACAATAAAGTATTGCGGATGTATATTTAGGCTAGGGATTAGGCAATTTTTTCATACAATAAGTGCAACAGTAAATTTTGTTGGTGGTGTCATGGGAATCTTGCTTTCTTATGATAAGTTCAAAGTGGAGTTATGATTTCGATAAGCACGTTTGATCAGACATCTCTCTATTCTATGTAAATAGTAACAGAAATAGCTTTGCAGGAAATAAATTCTCTATCATTTTGTATTTATAAAAGTTTGCCGTATAGTCAACAGCTTACGAGAAATTGGGGTATATGCATATTTCGGTTATAATGGCTGAAACTACAATCTAAGTGTGCGCTCACAACGGAGCGCGTACCCTCGCTCCGATCATAGCATCGTACACATAGCATCCATCGCCGGGTAAAATAATTACGTTGTTTTAAATACAAGCATTCACAGTGAAGCGCCGCGCATAGCCTCGACCCTAGCATCGCACCATATACATACCTAGAGCATAGTATTCCAGCTTAGTATTATTTCGACCCTCGACCGTGGCGCGCAGTATGGATAAAGAAAAGTTAATAGGCTCGGTATTTTTTTTCTCGGGTGTAAGATGATTACATGATCACTTTGTTAAACCTCAAAACTTGTAATAAAGTTTTTATACATACCTTACTGTTAGTATTAATCGTTCCTAACTTTGTTTCAAAGGACGTACTTTGCATATATTAGGCTCATCCATAAGATACCTTTTGATTCAAATAGAATTTCATCTTCATCAGACGATGATGAAAACTCCATGTTCACCCTAAGGCGTAACAGATACAACTAACCGAAAATAGGAGAGACATATCGAGGATAGGATGCTATGGTCCGATGCTAGTATCGGAGCAAGGATAAAAACACGTTTTTGGGGAGAATACAATTTTATACAAAGAGGTCTTTTACGTTTTTCCGACGTCTTAATTCAGCCAATTTTAACTTATCATTAGAAAGCAATATTCTAAGGATGCCATCAAAAAAGTTACTGTTATACTTATTGTAGGTTTTTGTTATTTGTTATTCAAAATCTTCCTATTTCATGACCTAATTCTGGAGTTTTAAGTTCCAACTCACGCGCAAGGACAATCTGCTCTCAAAAGTGGAGTTAGAGGCAGTCTATAGATAACTCCTAATGGAATACCCTTATTCTCGAATTTCACATCTTCACAGTCAGATTGAATGATATTCTTTGGTGTAGCTTCTAAGTCGCTCCTTGATTGCTGTAGAGAGTAACTAATGTTGATTCTGGCTATTTCAATATTCCTTCTCATAACTAAATAATTAATTTTATCGAATACTTGGATTCAACTTAATCTTTTTGTTAAAATCCAGACAATTTGGTCAAGAAACTTATATCATCTTTATGGCCCCTTCATTTCAAACAGAACATGTCACTGTTACATTTCAAACTGACGTGCGCATAAACTGATTAATCTGTTGAATAAATGCATTAACCATTTTCTAGAATGTTGTGAAATGTTAGTCACATTATATGATAGCAAAGAACCTTGTCCTTAACTGTTTAATTTATGAACACTTTCAACTTTCAATTTAGGATTTTGGCGTTTACTTACAACGCTTGAGCTACATGAACTGCCCAGTTCCTTGTTGTAATTTATTTTTTAGGCCCCATTTTCATCTGCATACGAGATTTCCAGGGTACAGTTGTCAGACTGTCCAACTTTGGTTACATTCACGTTCAACTCGACTGGCTTGAACATTTTCAAAACATCATATTTCGTTTGTAAAGCTGGTTGGACCTCCATAGATTTGATAATGACGCTGTTTGAATTTCCGTTTTTCACCAATGAGCTGTACTGTGCTCTTACTTTGTCTACTTTGTTAGTTGACCAGCTGGTTAATTCAATTTTTCGTAAAATAACGCATTTTTCATATAATTCTTCAATTATAATATCTTTTTGTTGAATTATTTCGTTTTTGGATATAATAAATTGTTCGTTGGCTTTTATAACATCATTTATCAATTTTAATATTTTCACCTTTTTTCCAGTTGGTTTTGCTACACCTTGACTCATCATTTAATATTTTAT